TTTAGTTTTCTTGGGGATGTGTGGGTGTGTTTTGCAATGACTGTTAAACCTGGAGTTTTCCGGAGGAGAAGGCACGTCCGCATGTCACCACCTGCCCTTCGTCGTCGGAGAAAGCTGTGCCCCTTCCTCCATAGGACCTTCAGCCTCGGCGACCCGCGGGCCCTTCCACTCCTCCAGGCCACAGGGCACACCTTGTGGGTGTGATGGCACGGGGTCCTTCGATTTGGACATTCGTCAGCTAAAACAAACCCCGCAGCTCGCCCGGCGAAGGGACGGTAGCTGTCGCTTTTTATGCGTGCTCATTACGGGCTGGGCTCTGCCTAGAGCATTCATCCTAGGAGTGGGTATGAGTTGGGCTGCCATCGAGGGCAGCAGTTCAAAACTGCCAGCGGCTTCATCGAAACAAGAGTAGAAAGACAGGGCTTTCTACTCCAGTAAAGAGTGATGGGGCTCAAGTAGGAAGAAAATGTTAATGGCAACATCTGTACAAAGGTGCTTAATACAATTGAATGATGGATGGTTATAAGATGTGTAAGAGCCCCCAATAAAATGATCATTCATAATATTGGTAAAAGTATGGTCTCTCAGAAACTCATCGGGGCAGTTCTACCCTGCCCTATAGCCTATCGACTTGAGGGCAGCGAGTTTGGCCTTTGGAGGGCCTGCACTGTCTTCTAATCAGCCTGCACTCATTTCCTGGGGCTCTGGGGGCACAGTTCTTGCTCATTTTGGTTACACATTTGGCTGCTAACCAGAAAGCCAGCTGTTCAAAACCACTAGCCACTCTCATTCTACTCACACTCTCACAAAGAGCTACAATCTATGAGACCCACAGGGTAGCTCTACCCTGTCTTACAGGGCCACTATGCATGCCCGCCATCAATTTGATGGGGTTTTTTGGTTTGTTTTTTCTTTCTTGCAAACCGACATCATTTCCAAAAAGTAGAACAGCAACGATGTTACTCTGAGGATGAAGGTTTGCTCGATTCAAGCCAGGATATGTTCATTTACCTCATGCATGTTGGAGTTGGACATTGGATCAGGAAGAAGAATCGACCAGTTTGAATTGTGGTGCTGGTGGAGAATATTCAAAGTATCATGGTCTGCAAAAACAAAAATAACCCGTCTGCCTTGGAAGAAGTACGGCGAGAATACTGCTTAGAGGCAAGGGTGGTGAGACTGTATCCCATGTCCTTTGGTGAGGTAGTCAGGAGACCGGTCCCTGGAGAAAGACACCATGGTTGCTGGAGGAGCAGCCAAGGAGAGGAAGGCCTTCAAGAAGCTGTATTGACCGTGGCTGTGACCACAGGCCCAGCGTTGGGATATGGTGGACAGGCCGGACAGTGTTTCATTTTGTTGCATATAGGGGTTGCTGGGAGTCAGAATTAACTCGACAGCGCCCACCACCACCACAACAGACAGGTCTTAACAGGAGACCTGGTGGCACGGTGGTTCCAACCCATGTTCCTCTCCAGAGAGAGCTGTGGAGGTCTGCTTCTGTGAAGATCTACAGCCTTGGAAACCCTCTGGGGCAGGTCTCTCTTCTACAGGGTTGATGTCAATGGGCTTGATTTTGCCTTTGGTTAGATTATGTCTCTAGTCTGGCCCCTTAGGAGTGCAGGGTAGGCCTACCACTTACCTTTTTCCCTGAAAGTAAGACATCCCCCGAAAATAGACCTACTTACAGTTTTGCCTCTTGCTGAAATATAAGGCACCCCCCCGAAAATAAGGCTCCCCCAAGCTACCATAACTGTGGACTCTGGACTGTAGTGGCGGGCACCGCCTTGCAGCTCACTGTTGGCCGCAGCGCAGCCGGAGCTGACAGCAAGTGCAAGGTCTCTTTTAATAAAACAATAAATGTGTACCGTATTCTTCATGGAAAAATATGACATCCCCTGAAAATAAGACCTAGTGCATCTTTGGGAGCAAAAATAAAATAAGACACTTGTCTTATTTTCGGGGAAACAGGGTAGTAAAGCAAGATACTTAACCTCTCTGGGCCTTTATCTAGAAGTCTGGGTAACTGAATATGTAAAGCTTCATTAAAGTATCCTATGATAATAATAATATATAATAATAAGGTTTGGGGAAAAAATAAGTTCGGGTGGGGGAGGGAGGGGATAAAAGGGAGCTGATATGAAAGAGTTCAAGAAGAAAGAAAATGCTTTGAAACTTGGTGGTAGCAATTGTACAAAATGTTTTATCTAATTGAATTATGGATTATTATAATATCTGTAATAAGATTTCCCAATAAAATGATTAATCATTATAATAAAGTATCCTAACTGCTGCCCCAAACTTTAAGCCCTCTGATGACTGCTCCTTGTTTGGTTTAGTCTGGCTCTTTTCCCCACTACTTTTCCATAGGCACCACATTCACTCACTGCCATTCTTCCAGTTCCTGCTACAAGGCCTTGCACATGGTGTCCTCTGCCTAGGCACTGTGGGCTCTCTTGAGTACCTGTTGCCCACCACATCCTATGTCCTAACTCTATTATTTTTTAAAGCCCTTCTTCCCTTGTGGAATGTAAACTCTTGGCACATAGATGCCATTCCGTTGTAAACACATTGAACATGTAGACGTTTTGTACAGCAGGGCAGTGTTGTTCATTTGTCTCCTATGCAACAGAAAGAAATGTTGCCCAGTCCGGTTCTAGTCCATCCTTGCCCATCCAGCTCACCGGGGGTCCCCGCATTCCCAATCAATCTCTCCTGAAACACGTGCAGGTGAGTGGGACAGTGTTCTATAGTTTCATTGGCGAATGTTCAGAAGTAGCTCTCCACGCTTTTCTTCTTTGCTCTTAGTCTGCAAGTCCACTGGAATCCATCTCCCGTGGGTGACCCTGCCGGGGTTTGAAGTACCTGTGTCTCAGCCTGGGAGGAACACAAAAGGCAGCGATGTGTACAGGTTTCTCTTTCTTTGGTACTAGTTTTAATCTTCTCTCACACTGGACTATAAAAGTCTTCAAAGAGGCTGATGGTGCTCGGCTATGGAGACCTATAGCATCTGGGGACTTAAAGGCTTGAAAGTAAACAAGCGGCCATCTACCCCAGAAGCAACAAAGCCCACATGGAAGCAGCACACCAACACGTGTGATCATGAAGGGCTAAATTGACCAGGCTTCAAGCACCAAAGGCAGGGTGGTGGAAAAAAATAATATCGTGAATGAATAAGGGGAGCGTGTGATGGGGACCCAATGACCATCTGTAGACAACTGCACATACCTTGCAGAGGAGTAGTGGGGAGGAGATGAGTCACTCAGGGTTCAGTATAGCAATAATGAGACTCACAACCTTCCTCTAGTTCTTAAACGCTTCCTCCCCCCAACTACCATGATCCCAATTTTACCAGCAAACCTGGTTAGACCAGAGGATGCACAGCAGTACAGATGGGAACTGGAAACAGGGAATCTAGGACAGATGAACCCCTCAGGACCAGGGGTGACAGTGGCTTTACGGGAGGGAAGGGGGGGTAGAAAGGGGGAATCGATCACAAGGATCTACATATAACCTCCTCTCTGCAGGATGGGCAACTGAAGGGTGGGTGAAGGGAGACGTCGGGCAGTGTAAGATAAGATATAATAATAATTTATAAATTATTAAGGGCCCATGAGGGAGAGGGGAGGGAGGGGGGAAAGGAAAATGAGCTAATTCCAGGAACCCAAGAGAAGAGCGAATTTTGAGAATGATGAGGGCAACAAATGTATAAGTGTGCTTCACACAATTGATGTATGTACTGTGATGAATTGTATGAGTCCCAATAAAATGATTAATAAAAAAACTCTTCAAAGAGCTTCTTCTTTTTTAATCGCTTCAAAGAGCTTTATATTTTGTTTGTCTCTCATGTAAACATCCTCAGTATCTCGCTACACACACACACACACACACACAGATTACCATTTTGTGGTTATCCCTGAGCTGACCAGCAGAGAGCATCTGATGATCGTGCTGTGGAGGGAGAAAGGCCAGAGTCGTGGTTTACAAAATGGAGGATCTGCATGGAGAGGCAGCAACTGGCCGGGCTTTCCCGCCACAGACCTCCCCTGTCACTTTGGGGGATGGGAAGCCAAGACCTCAACCTTCACATGAAAAAACACCAGACCCATCGCTATTGAGTCAACTCACCCCCATAGGGCGGAGAACTACCTTTTTTATCCCCCCACACTGATGCATTTATTAAAAACAACCCAAACATATAGACTAATGGCTCTGTGCTCAAATATCATTGTGGTCTGTGCTGACTTCCACAAAATGTAACTTAGCTGTCATGGACTCTTCACAACTACATTCTGGACCAAAAGAAAAAGGTCCACAGAGATGGCGGTCAAGACAGACCTACTGCAGACACTTGTGATGAAGACGTGCTGGAAAATGAAGTTTGACATGATTTATAATTACACCAACATTCACGGAGGCTGAGAGTCAGAGGCAAAAGGGTGCAATCACCACAAGAAACCTTTTCACATGTCCCGATTAATTTCATATAGTCAGTCAGTCACCAGGAAAAAAACCACTTGTTCTTGTCAAGCAGAATTTTCAAGTCCATTCAATCAAAGTCTGGTATGTCTTTCTGAGTCTATTCATTTGCAGGTGGGAAGAGACCGGAACCAGGTTCTTCACATCATGCGTTCTCAGGCGATACCACATCTTCATACACTATCCACTTTCTTTAAGATAAATGGAGTGACTCGCAGCAGGGCCACGTAAATAAGAAAGTTCCGTATGGAGGAGACCATGTCCTCGTGCATCTTCCGTTTCATTTCCTCGGGTCCAGCTTCGGCGAGGCCCTCGATCGATCGGAGACATCGGGGCTGGGCTTCAGCGCCTGCTCTCTAGGGATCTAGGTGCTTCTCGGAATGCCGCCTTGCGCCCAGATCTTGGCTCGAACTGCTACCTTTTTAAGTTTTAATTCAGCCAGCTTCTTTTGGCATTGACAAGCTGCAAGAGAGCAGGTGGGCAAACGGCACCTTTTCAGGTACAGGACCTGAAACATCCATTCCACAGTCTTACCGGAAAAGGCCAGGGGGGTCAGCAGTTGCACACTGAGCTAGTGTATCCTTCAAGGACACAGTGCCTTTGGCAATGTCATCCCCACTGGGGAATAGTTTGGTTCTCTTGAGATGGCCCTTCCAGTGTGGTGTGTTTTATAGGCAACCACTTTATAAAAAGAACACATTAGACACTAAGGAAAGTATGAGAAAGGAAGATGGAAGCCACCTGAAGATCTATAAGGAAGGGAAGCTAAGACAAGGAGTTACCCACCCCGGCGGCCCCCTCCCCCAGTGGAAGGACCTTCCTCTCTAAGCAGTGTTCCCGTGGGTGGGTGATACTGCCCTTGGGGGGCTAGAAATATCAAGGGGGGACATATAAAAGCAGATACCAATAGTTTATCCTGGATTACGGGATATAATACACAGTTTTTCATGAGGCGCAGGGAACTTAATTTGTTTTCCCCCTTGAAAATGGGTCCGTAGCCGGATACGTTTGGGGAAGCTAGGTTTGCAGACTCACTGAGCTAGAGCTGAGTGCCGTCACACCGTGACTACAGTGGAGGGGAGTGCACTGAGGGCCCTTGTTGGCAGCACTGAGAGTTTGCAGCCTGGCCAGAGCAGGGCCCGAGGAGCTTCATGGCTGAGGCTGAGGACGAGAGAGACTGCCCTGACCCACGAACTGTATCCCGAGCATTTCTGATCCCGAGTGGTAACCTATTAACTTCCCTAACATGCCTCTTAATTGTGAATATGGCTTGGCAGTTCTGTGAGCCCACTGCAAGGAACCAGTAGCCAGCTGAGAAGTAGCGTGCCGTCTAAGGGATAGTCGGGTCCAAATAGGGTACAGGACGCTGAAGGGGCAGGCCTGCCCGCCCCACAGGGCTTCCAAGGGGATCATCCTTATGGATTAGTCACCACAGTTCTCTTCTGCCGAGCAGCCGGTGAGTTCAGGCTAATCTCAAAATGTTACCAACCCTAAACCCCTGCCCCCGACTCCCACCCCTTCTACTCCCAACAAACCCACCCCTGTGTTTTTGTGCTGCCTGACCTTGACCCCTCGCTCCTTACTCTTAGACATTGACATCTCACTCACTGGTGCGCTTTAGTTTCGGGGAGACAGTCCTGAGCTGACCCCCCCAAGGCTTCATTCTCCTAAGCTGTAAACTGACCACGGTAACAGTACCGAGCTCTAAGGTTGATGTAAGGATTACACAGCATTACAGGGGAAAAACAACGCACTGCCATCTGGTTGATGCCAACTCATACTGACCTTGTAGGACAGGCTAGAACTGCCTCTGGGAGTTTCTGAGACTGAACTTTTTTTTTTAAATCATTTTATTGGGGGCTCGTACAATTCTTATCACAACCCATCCATCCATCCATCCATTGTGTCAAGCACATTTGTACATTTGTTGCCATCATCATTCTCAAAACATTTTCTTTCTACTTGAGCCCTTGGTATCAGCTCATTTCCCCCTCCCTCATGAACCCTTGATAATTTATAAAGGATTATTTTACCAGACTGTAACTCTTTACAGGACTAGAAAGCACCGTCTTTTTCCCATGGAGCAGCTGGTGGTTTTGAACTGCTGACTTGGCAGGTTGCAGCCTGTATAACCTCTCCATTCCCAGGACTCCTATCTTCCTCAAATTCTCCTACTCTGCCAAGTGACTCCGTCAGGAATTCAGAACAAAACCCCACCTTCACCCGACCTTGCCAAATAACTGTGTTGCTTTATTTTTCAAATAAGCTATATACACTCAGCCACCAGCCCTTTACCACTTTAATGTCCTATTATCTGGTTTCTGTTAACTGAAAAATGTTCGATAGACACTACCACCCAAATCCAAGTCTTTTCTCAGTCTCCTATTTGAAATCATTTATTTTTAAAATCTCAAATTAGGCTTCCACAGACAAATGTCTTCCTCAGAACCCTGTTCTCCCCCTCCGTGGTAGCTAAGTCTATTAGAGCTCCATTCTTCTCCCTTCTCATGGTTGTGTGTGCGTGCATGTGTGTGCATGCATTTGTGTGGGTTTTGATGGTGAATCCAAGTAACATGCATCCCTGACCATGTCAGTAATTTCTGTGTGAACGCGTTGTTTCTCGGTCCATTGTGAGGGTTTGTTCTATGTTGAGGTCCGCCCCACACTGAAGCTGCAGTCTGTTCATCACTAAGTCCTTAGGGCTGCTAGCAGGCAAGGTTGTTTCAAATGCAAACCACTGGTTGTTAGTAAGTCTTCTTCCGATCCAGATGCCCTGTTTTTATTTATAGAGGCCAGCTTCTTGAAGTATTTGCTCAGCACATAGATTAAGTGTGGTGAAAGGGTGTAGCCTGGCCACTGCACATCATTCCTGACTGGACACCAGTCTCCCCGGGTTTTGTTTGAGGTGCCTCTTTGTCAGTGTGCAAGTTCTGCATGAGCACAACAAATTGCTCTAGAATGCCCCTTCTCTGCAAAGCTATCCACAATTTATTCTGACCCACCAGTGGAATGCCTTTGTGCGGTCCATAAAACAAGCAAACCATCTTGCTGATACGCTCATTCAGACAGGTTCCCTGACATGAGCAATGCTAACCCTGCATCCATGTCCTTTTTTGAATTCAGCTTGAGTTTCTGCAAGTTCCCGGTGGATGTATTGTTACAGTCATCGTTTAATTATCTTAATTTTGCGTGCGCATATTACTGTTGAATAGTTCATTCTGTTGGATGACCTTACTTTGCAATGGGCACAGTGAAAGCAAAGCTCTTAGCAGTTTCATTCATTTCTATTGAAGCCTCTTCTCCTAAATCCTTCCAGTGTTTAACCTTCAGCGTGAGCTGACTTTCCTTCGGTACCTACCATTCACCAATGATTACTTCTCTCATCATTGTCTCAACGCATCTTTGTTACAGTGACGTCGAAAGTGCCCCCACTTCCCCTTAAATCTATCCTACACTTACTAGTGTGGCTGTAACTTGAGGCTTGGATTTTGTTCGCTTCTGCTCACGTGGCACTGGTCCATGGATTAGGAGGCCACGGTGCCAACAGGAGGAGCACTTCAGTTTAAAAGCTGGAAAGGGGTTCATCGGCCTTGCATCATCTTACCATACTTATTTGATCTGTTTGCTGAACAAATCACCCGAGAAGTTGGACTATATGAAGAAGAATGTAAGTAACATCAGGATTGGAGGAAGGCAGTTCCCAACCTGAGATGCAGAGACACAGCCCTGCTTGCTCAAGGTGAGGACTTGTAGCACTTGAAGGTCAAGGAGGGCAGCCTTCAGCATGGATTACACCTCAACATAAACCGCAAATCCTCACAATTGGACCGGGAGACATCAAGATAAACAGAACAGCATGGAAGTTGTCCAGGATTTCATCTTGCTTAGATCTACCACCGATGCTCACGGAAGCAGCAGTCAAGAAAGCAGACGACACATTGCATGAGGCAAATCTGTCGCATGTGAGCTCTGTCAAGTCTTGAGGAGCAGGGGCATCTCCTCGAGGAATAGGTGCACCTGACCCACGCCAAGGTGTTTCCAATGGCCTCATAGGCGTGTGAAACTGGGTAAGTGAGGAGGAACACTGAGAGGGATTGACGCATTGGAACTCGGGTGCTGAGAACCACACGGGAAGCATCACGGGCTGCCAGAACCACCGACAGTCCTGTCTTGGAAGAAGCGCAACCAGAATGCTTGGAAGTGAGAATGGTGAGGCTTCATCTGACTTGTGGACACACGATCAGGAGAAACCATTTCTGAGAAAAAGGCATGATTGATACAGTTGGTCATCCACACAGTGGCTGTTCAAGATGGGCTCAAACATCAGACCCAGTGTGAGGATGGCACAGGGCCGACAGTCTCGATGCTTGAGCACAGGGTCGCTTGGAGCCGGAGTAGGGCAGAGACAGCACATAATACCACTCACTCACATGGTTTCTCTACCATACGGCTCTTATCGCAGTGGCCCCCTGCCCGGGAACTCCAACAACTGAGCAAATACAAACCTTGCTCTAATTACAGTTGTGTCAACTTGGCTCAGCTGTTGGAGTTCCAAGTGGTTTAGCAATTAGGAAATGATGCTGTCATCTCCGTGGTGTGATCTGATGTGGTCAGCCAATTAGTTGTAAGGGGCGTTTCTTCAGGGGTGTGGCCTGCGGCTAATAACACAGAGATGGTCACTGCTCCCTGGCTCTTCTAGACCTGTGTATGACTTGGTCGGTCATCTCTGGTTCTTGGGATTAGTAAAATGCTGCAGAACCAGGAGCCAGCAGCTTGCCCGTCTAACCTGCTGGTCTTGGATTCATCAGTCCCTGCAGCTATGAGTCAAGTCTGACCCCACTGGGATTTGCCAGCCTCTACAACTACATGAACCATTTCCTTGAAATAAATCTTGACATACATACAAGTTTCACTGTTGGTTTTTCTTTTTTGGGTAAGGGGAGGGTCTGCTTCTCTTCAGAACTCAGCCTAAAATAATCTTTAAGGCACACATTTCCCCCCACCTAATTATTTGGACATCTATACAATCTGGCTGGCCATTCATATGGTAATGACCATGAGAGCCTAATTCCTGCCTTATCACCTTTCTAACTAGCTAGTATCACTGTATCATTTTGAGTAAAAATTAATCTTACAAGATTGCTTTTATGATGAATACTTAAAAAGCTAACATGAGGAGAATTGAACACACTACCATCCCCTTCCAGGTTGTTGACTTGTTCCAAATATGAAAAGGCTTGGATCGCTGGTTTCTCTAGTAAAGCAAACCATCAGAGGACCTGGGGCTGATTTCGACGTACACAGGGATGATGTCATCCCAGGAAAGTCTCTGGAACCCCTTCATAGTTTATAGCCACATGCTCAAGTAATTACATACTTCAGCAGCAGCAACAACAAAAACCAACTTGAAACAAGCTAACTTTATTATGTGAGGGGGCTTTAGAAAGTTAGTGGGAAAATTCCTTTATCTTGCAACCCCAATTTCCATGAACTTTTTGAAGCCCCTTACACATTTATTCTCTAGATTACTTTTTGGAATCCAGTCGTATTCTTAGTGCCCCACGTTGTTTGCTCTACTGTTTATATTCACTGACTGAGCTTCTGGTCTCCTCGGGCACACAACTCCCTGGCCTCATCTGGAACCCCAACTGCTTGCTCTTTAGTCATTTCCTGTGTGCCCCACTGGGCTCATTACTTCATCCCTCGCATGTGCTCCCCTCCTCCTCATTTGGGAAGACTGGAAACACCTGTCTTCGTGATCCAGCACCAGGCACGTGCTGTCGTCACGAGCTAAGCTTCTGGAACGACCCTTGGTTTCTCAGTTCTGATTATTAACCATGAATTTTGTCATCATCACACAGGAAATGGTGGTACTAGTACCTCCGTCTAAAAAGCTACTGGGATGACGACGTTAATGTTTAATACTTAGAATCATGCCTCACTCACAGCAAATGTCCAGTTGGTGTTACCCTCTTTCCTGCCAATGTCCATCCTGCTCAGAACTCTGCCTCCCGAGGCCCCTGGGCAGCCTTCCCTCCTACATACCACCACGTTGTTGACTACTTTCTTTTTTGTCCATCACACTCAGTCCAAGTCTATCCTGACTTTAGTAAATAGCTCGTATTTACTAAAGCATGTAGCTTACAATTGCCTATTATGTATGTCACACACCTGGCATGTGACGGTGTGCTGTAATTATTGGCTGAGTCAACCTAATCAGAAGGACCTGCCACACAGCCCGTCTCTTGTCCTTTCCGCTCTATTTTAGCGCTCTTACGTGGACCGGAGGCTGGCGTGGAATGTAAATGCTCTGCCGCCGCTGGCCCTCTGGCCAAGCCGGCTTCCCCACTCCAGCTGTCAGCACGCAGCCAGCTCCTGGCTTGTCTGCCGGGCGCTCTCGACGGCAAGTTGCTGCTGTTTCCCTCCGTGTTGGTCCTCAGCGTCTCACACTGGCGAAGGAATGAGGTTTCTCATGGAAACCGAGGCTCAAGACAATTAGCAGGCCTGTTGGTGAAGATGAACTGAGAGTGCAGTCACATCTGCCCGGAGGGTTCTGGGAATCCAGACGACAATGGTAGGAGAGTTGGGAGGCCATAATGTGTGGTCTTCCAGGTATGGACAAGACAAGCTAAAAGGACTGTTCTTAGGGGGGTCAGGGGGAATGTGAATGTGGGGTTGAATTAACCCTTTGTTGTTTTGCCAGTGTAGGAAAATGTTCTGATTTTTTTCACAAATATGTATAAAGTTAAGAGTCAATAGGCCCCACCCTACCTCCTCACGTCTCCCATTTGAAACAATCTAGGACAGGTAAACTTTCTGTAACGAACCAAACAGTAAATATTTTAAAGCTTCCTGAGCCATAGGGTTTAAGAACCTGATTCCTTTCAACCGCTCTCGCACGAAATCGGCCACAGACAACATAGCAATAATCGGGCCCAGCGGTGCTCAGTAGACTACAAAAGCGGGTGGTAGCTTCAAGCTACGGGTTGTAAACCTCCGATCAAGAAACTTCTGAACAGCATTTTCTGATACCCAGCAGGATTAGTGAGCGGCTTTGTGTTCTCTGCTCACATCCAAGGCTGTCAGTTCTAGGGACCCTGGAAGGCAGAGCAGCATTGCCCCGAGGCTTTCCCCGGTGATACACTGATGTAAGCAGAGGGCCACATCACCTTTCTCCCAGGGATGAGCTGGTGGGTTCAAACCGGTGACCTATCAAGTAGCAGTCAAGACTTTACACCGCCACCAGGGTCCAAGGAGGACATTTTTCCAGGAGACTGCCACTTCTCTCCCTGCAGAGTAGCTAGGGGGATCACACCTCGCCTCCGCCTGCCCCCCCCCCCAACCCTGCCTTCTAGTTACAGCATCTCAGCGGTTACCACTGCCCCTTCACCTAAACCAAACCCACTGCCATCAAGCAGCTTCCAGCTCATTCTACTCATCAACCCGCTTAGTACATTCACTGTGCCTGAAAAAACTATTGCCTCCGCTTGGGAGTTAACTTGTGAAGGCAGAGACCAAGATGTTCCCCTCATCTCCATCGTATGGCCATCCATTATTTCCACAGCCCAAATTTACCCCCACAATATTTAGCATGGTGCATTAAGAACAGGCTCTTACAGTAATTCTGAAGCAGCTACACACACACAAACACACTCATCAGCAGAGCCCATGGTCTCCCATGCCCCTTCTCTAACAGCTCCTGTGTAAATAAGAGTGTAGAGCCAGTGGGTGCAGTTAGACCACTTCAACCTCCTAGGTCAGAAGTGGGCCAACAGTGGCTCGCAAGCCATCGGGCAGCTCTTTTGGAATGTACATGGGGCTCTGAAGTAATAGTGAAGATTTGAAAGATATCATTCAGATAATGGTGATTCATTTGGCTGTAAAACTATACTTAATGGCTCTCGACTGATTCTTAAATTGTGGTGAGGGGCAGGATTGGCTCTTCCATCCTAGAGCATGCGCAGTACTGCTGGGCTTACACTGACGCATACTGTGAGCAGCCCTGGCCACAGTGCATTGAATGCTCAGTAGTTTAACCAACGGGCTGGCTGTGGGACCCTCGGCAGAAAGAGGTAGCTGTCTACTTCTGTAATGACCTCTAGCCATGGAAACCTTAAGGGGCAGCTCCACTGTCCTGGACTCCACCCCATGGTGCTGGGTTTGGCTTTTGGCATGAGAAAGGCTCTAATTGAAAATGCAGGTTGTATTTGGGGGAGGGCCGGGATCTTTGATCTCAATCCCATGGAAGGAGTTTACCGCAGTACGACAGCCATGCTTCGTACGGTAGATACAGGTGTTTCAGGGTCCCTCCTCCACCTCTATATTCTTAGGAGACCCTGGACATGGGGTGGTGGCTTCCCTGCCTGCGATGAAAACATACAAAGGTGCTTGAGAAGGGGGGCAAGGGACGGAGCAGGACAATGTGGCCTCTGGAGTGTGCTTTGGCAGCTGCAGGAAGGAGACAGGAAGGAAGGATGTAGGAGGGACGCAGGGCAGGGCAGGGCAGGGACGGGTGCACACTGCTCCCGGACAGACGTCCTCCCAACACAGTGGTTAGTTCCAACACAGGAGTAGGTGACAAAACAAGGAAGAAATAAATGCGCAGAATTAAGGGGAGAGAGGCCCAAGCAGCAGGGGAGAAGCCTTTGGGAGAGGGATGTTGACTTAAGAACTGAGTCGAGCAAAAGTTTATCAGCGCAGTCCGCACCACGGGACAGCACACACAACGTGACCAGCAACCTGCAGACCCCGTGCGAAGGACCGGGAAACGTCACTGCACTGCCGGTGCCTGGCCCCACCCCTCCTGCGGGAGAGGGTGGGCGCACGCGGGCCTGGGTAATACAGGAGGCAGGGGCAGAGGACGGAAAGAGCTGCAGCCTACACTAAGTGGAGTTTTCAAATTCCTGAGCACAGTGTCTTAGGGCTGAAGCATTTGATTTTTCCCCAATCCCAGTGGAACTGTGACCCAATGACTCAGACCACACCCACCAGCCTAGAGTCAAACCCCAGAGGGCCCAGACATGGAGAGCAGGGTGGTGGGGGGAGACACCTTTCATTCTCAATCCTCTTCTCATCAGCATGTTAAGATAACCACAACTCCACCAATAACACCTTCGCTGCCTTCCCTGACTCTGACAGCCACTCTGCTGGTGGCTAGAAGGGGAAACGAAGTGTCCGGGTCTGGGTGAGGCAGGGCAGAGCCTGTGTCCAGAGGTGACCAGCGACCTCATCACTATCCCATTTCCTGTGGTGAGGCTCTGAGCCTAGCTATGTGTCTGAAAGGCAAGAGGACGGCTGGCCTTCATGACTGACTCAAACTCAGAGGCGTAGACTGAGGCTCTGAGGGCCTGGGAGCAAAGTTCTCCGAGGCCCAGGCACCGATGCTGGGCTGGCGTGTCCTTCCTGGCAACGGAGGAAGCCTGCTTCTCCCCTCAGTTGGGGCTGCCGGCAATCACTCAGCCAAGGATGCCCTTGACTCCCGATCAACTGAAAAGCTGCGCTGAAAAGGAAAAGCACCCCCAGCCCCATGCCATCCGGGCCCCCCACAACAGTGACAGCAGAGTCAAAGCTTTACTTTGTTTGTTTTCTTACTTTCTTTAAAAAAAAAAAAAAAAGTAAATAAATTAAATTGCCAATGATGTGGCTGGGGCTGGAAATGGGGTTGCAACAACCAGACCTTTTTTTTACAAAAAAATGTGTGTCTGTCTGTGTGTGTGTGTGTGCTTAGGGGGTGTGCTGAAATACAAACAATGGCCAAGGGAGCTTCTCAAACTACCTACCTACAGGCACAGGGCTGGCGGGAACCACAGGCGGGCTATCACTGGTCATGCCACCCTAGGCAGGGACGGCTCTCCACGTCAGCGGAGGCCAGAGAGCAGTGCCTTGTGGCCCGGCAAGCCCAAGAGACACATCCCCACGTTCCTAAATGAGCAGGGAGCATGAAGAGCTCCTCTGGAGGAGTTCCACGTTGCAGCCTGCACATACCTCTGGGGTGGGCTGGCACCGGGGTCCATCTGCCCTTCCTGGAGAGCAGAGCGGGCCTCACTCACTCTAGGGGGCTGGCTCTATCCTGACCTTTTGCTCGGGATGCCCACTCCTCAGCGGTGCCCCGACTGCTGCTAGAATCCGCAGGCCTCCTCTCGGGGAGAGAGATCTCTTTGTGCTTTCTGAAAAGACCTGGCAGCAGACCCAGGCAGGAGAGCTGGCAGGGTGGGGACCCTCCTCACCACACTGAGCTAGTCCAGAGGTTTTAGGGGAGGGAGTACGGTGCAGAGGGAACTGGCGTTTCCCATCGGAAAGGCTGAACTAGGTGCCCTGGGGGGCCTTTGAGGGCTGGAAGAGGGGGAGATGTGGGCTCATGGGCCGTGGAATTTGAAGTGGGGGTACAGTGGGCACAGAGCCCCAGCTGGTGGAATGATGGGGTTTTCGGGTTTCCATTCTGTCCTGACAGCGTCACAAATCCTATATCTCCTCCACGCCGTGCGCGAAGATCATGACCAGCCCTGGCTCCTGCACCATGTCGTCGCCCATATGCTGGTTCTCGCAAGCCATCACCACAACAGCCTGCTTGCCGGGGATGCGCTTGGCCACGTAGTTCTCGTAGTAGCGCCGGTTCATCTGCCTTGTCTCTAGTGTGGCCAAACCCTGGGGCCAGCTCCGCTCGTGGGCATTTTCAATCAGCTCGTTGACGATCGAGGCAGGACAGCCGCTCTCCACCAGGGAGCGCTTGATGACGGCCTGGAGCACAGCGTCCGGGGTGGAGATCATGCCGCCCCAGCGCGTCACTCTTGCTGGCTGCAGGGAGTTCACCCACCTGTGCGGAGGGGGGTGGAGGGGTCATGCCCGCCCGTCCCTTTTCTCTGCACTGGCTTTGCTTCTCACGGGCGTGACCACCCACTGAGCTCAGCTTAACCCTGTTCTTCCTTCTTCGTCTTTGACTCAGCAACTCCCAGTCTCTCCCTAGTTGTCCCCCTCGAAGACACCAACCAAGACTCACCAAACGACATTCCAGGAGCGTAGAGCCCCATAGCTTCCTCTGAAATCCCAAGACTTGGCACACGTACACCGGCACACAGTAAGTGCTCAACCAGCGTTCACTAAACGAAGCAGTTACCCACTATGTGTCCTCTATGTAGTTTCACACGTATACTGTAGTCTATCAACTGAAAGGGATCTTACACTTCACTTGTTTACTCCCCTGGATTTGGCACCGTCTCTTCTTCCCTGGACTGTAAGCTACCTGAAGACAGGGGCAATACCTTCTATTTCTTCTTTGCCCTCCTCACACACCACAGCCTTTCATATGGGGCTTTGGACATGGTGTGTACTCACCTAATTCTGGATAAACTGCATCCTTGGGTCGGCTTTCCCTTCCATCCACCCAAATTCATAAGAGAGCCTGTATTGGGGCTGAGGGGCATCCTCCTCTCCTCTGCCCCTGTGCTTGTGGTGGCCCAGCCCAGCTCTCTGATTGCCCTCCTTCTGCCACTCCCCTGCTCTTCCTCCTTTCCGGCCTCTGTGCCAGGACGTGGAGTGAGAGACCCCACGCCCTGAGTGACACTCACTCCAGAATCTCGTTGTACTCAATGGTCTCCTCCAGGTTCTGCAGGTTGGGGCTGACGCTGCGCACGGCCCGCATGTAGGCCTTGAGCAGCTGGATGTCTCGCTTCTGTTGGAGGGGAGAAACAGGAGGAGGGTGAGGGTGAAGGCGGACAGCAGACGGGAGGCAAAGCTCACTGAGCCATCTGGGGAGTGACCCGACTGTAAACCTCAAGAGGAGGGGGCATGGCTGGGTCATCACTGCTGTCTCCGATGCTCAGCACAGTGGCTTCAGAGGGAATGTTGGAGAGCTGTGTGGGGACTGAGGGAAAGAGGGACAAAGGCAAACCCAACTCACTGCCCCGACGGAGTCAATGCTGACCCACAGGGCTCCCCTGTGAGCTCCTGCACTGTCAGAGTCTGCGGGCCAGAAAGCCCGGCCTTGCCCCCAGCTCAGGGCTGCTGCCGACCACTTGGACTGCAGCCCCTTGCAGAGCCCCTACACCAGCAGGACTCCTGGGGCGAAGGCAGGGGAGCATTCCACGCTGCTTCCCACCTAAGCCGCAGGCACAGGGTCCACACACACACAGAATAGCACCCACGCACCAGCAGAGGTCTGGGCTCACGTGGGCTCGGTGTCCTCAGGGCCTACCTGCTCTGCCAGCTGGTGCTTGTGCTCAGCCGACGTCTTCTCCAGCTCTGCGATGCGCGTCTGCTGCTGCTGCACCACGGAGCGCAGGTGCTTGATGCAGTTGTGGTTCGGCAGCTCATCTTTGGGCATTTCCAGGCTGCACTCCGTGGAGGGGGGAGGGGGGCCAGGAAGCAAACAGTCATACCAGTCACGGGGTCAAAGGCCGATTCTGACAGAGAACTGCTGAGGGGCCCCAAACGTCTGACCTTGAGGACGAGCTCCCCTCCTGCCCCTTCCTTCTTTCTCTTCTAGGCGCCTCCTCACCTCTTTGCTACCAACTTTTCCTGGGCTCCCCAAGGCACACTGTCCTACCTCCTTACTGCCCGGCTCTCCGTGCCCCCGAGAGCAGCGGTTCTCAACCTTCCTAACGTCGTGACCCTTTTTGAGACAGTTCCTCATGTGGTGGTAACCCGCAACCATAACATTATTTCCATGCTACTTCATCCCTGTCATTTTGCTACTGTTACGAATTGGGTAACCCCTGTGAAAGGGTCGTTCGACCCCCTAAGGGGTCGAGACCCACAGGTTGAGAAGGGCTGCCCTAGAGGCCCTCCCTGGTACTCAGTCCTTCCGGAAAGCTAGACCATTTATTTCATCAGTAACTCACACCGCACGGGCGGGAAGAGCCGAGGGCATGGAGAGAGACAAGGCTGGCAGCTCACCCACCTGACAGAACGGGAGGGTGAGGGAAGTCACCTTTAGTACTGCCACACACACTGGGGGAGTGCAGGGCCCCGCTGTCTTGAAACAGTTTTTACTTTTATAGTCAGCGAGGTGGCGCTTTACCTTTCCAATCATCAATTTTGTGTTCAACAGTCTGAACTACTAATCACCCCCACCAATAATTTGCCCTTCACCCAATTCTTGATTCAGCCTCTCCTACTTTGCCCTTGATTTTTTTTTTTTTTAAATCAAAGCAAGAGTTTAAAAATCTTAGCTGGAAAAGAAGATGGCCAGAGCTCAGGGTAAGGAGCCGGGACGCCAGGGGCACTCCTGCTCCACACGCTTAGAAGAACGCTTCTGCTTCGCTAGCGGGCGGGGCTCGAGGCCGAGGGCGACGAGGGGAGGCCCGATCTGTGCGAGGCGAGGCGAGGCGACTCACCCACAGCCCTGCTCACAGGTCACGGGCCTCTTCGGGTTGTGCTCGCAGTCACTGAGGTGAGACATGAGGTTGTCAAGCCGGACGACAGCACTGCAGCCAAACACAGCGTTGTCACAGGCAATCTGCAGCTTTGACAGCATGTTCCGCATGATCCGAGGTACTGGGCGCAGGTGGGCGACCGTCACGACACTACGGTCCACCGGGCACGTCTGCTGCTGAGAGAACCACTGAGTGATGCAGGCATTGCAGAAAGCATGTTCACAGTGAGGGGCCTAAAAGGGACAACAGGGGGAGGGGCACAAGGGAATTAGCAGGCATTAAGAACCTTTATCTCCAGGCAAGCCTTTGAGCAGCTTCCAGAACTAGAGGTCCCCGAGAATCTTCGCAGAGTACGGGTCTACTACGAACAAGGCATTGTGGGGGTCAGACTGAAGGTACCCAAGATTACAAATGGGCTGTAAGACCAGACAAACAAGTAGAACATTATTCAACACTGAGAGACAGACAATATTGTAGAACAATAGGACAGATGACATAAAGTAGTCCATTATTAAATGCCAATTATATTGCACACACAACAATTACGAGTCCAGAGAAGGACTCCGTCCTCTCAGCCTAGGTCAATCAGGGAAGGCACTGCAGTGACGGCAGGATTTAATATGGCTCTTAGAGGAGGACTCAGACTGCAGGGGTAGAGAGGAGAGGGACAGAGATTTGCTGGCTGGCTAAAGTTCGATTAAAAACTCACTGCCGTTGAGTTGATGCCGACTCACAGTGATACCCATGTGGGGGGCAAGGGGTAACTATAACTGTTTAGAGGAGTAGAAAACCCAGTCTTTCTCCCCCAGGGCAGCTAGTGGTTTTGAACTGCCGAGCATGGGATCACGGTCCAACGCAAAACCATTACACCACCAGGGTTCCAAAGTTCAGTATAAAAGATCAGAACAAACTAAAAACAAAACAAAAACCCACAACCATTTAGAAGTCAGGACTCCCGTGGAGAGGTGAAGAATCATCTGGGAGGGCTGACCTGAGTCCCAATGGCCAGGAGTAGCCTCTCAAACAGGGCAGGGGCTCTTCTCAGAATCACACTAGTTTCCGTTTGTGAAAGACCACAGTGTGCAGATCACTCGGGTAACGTCTATTTGTCCTGTGGCGGCCTCTGGCATCTAGCGCGAGGCTGATGAATGAAGGCCTGGCATGCCCACTATGTCGCCAACGCTCAAGACAGTTGGTCCTCCAGGGCTCGGGCTGACACCTGGGGAAGAAGTCTGCTCACTATCACTAATCCAACTGTCAGCAGAAGTCATTTTTTATTCAGAGGCATACTTGATTCTTTTCCTAGTCTTAGAGGCCCTATCTCCAAAATACGCCGAAACCAGTCCACTTGTCTCCATCTCTACTGCCACTAATTCAGCTCCAGCTGTCATCATCCTCACTTGGATTATAAAGCGTCTCCTTGGCCCTGCTTGATACATGGCCTCCTAAAGGAAACGTGGAAGATGTGGGTGCTATAGAAAAGCATGGATATTGTCCGGCTATCAGAAAGAGTAGTGACTAAGGTCTTAAAGGCTGTTTAGACACAAGCAGCCATCTAAGTGAGATGCCAACTAAGCCCACGTGGAAGAAGCACACCGAGACCTGTGATTCAAGGAGTGGAAAAATATAATCCAAATCCAAAGGAGGGAATGGTATCAGAGTTTAAATTGTGAAATTCTTGTTTGCAAAAGGCTACGGTTAACAGTGGGAGCCCAGAATACACTTGTAGGATCTACAGAGAGTATGTCTCTGACGATTTCCCTCTAACCATAACTGAAAGATGGAAGTAAGCTAGTGACCAGGCAGAGAGTATTGGAGAGACAATTATAGTAGCTTAAAATGACAAATCTGATTCTAATGGTTAACATCTTGTCATTTGATCTTCCTCTGGATATACTTTGAGCTTGATCTGGTATTTATTATTTTCTGGGTTTCATTTTTTACAGATTAGGGCTTATCTCTGCTATATTTTGTTCTTTTGGGTGACATTCTTGACTCTGTTATGTTCCTTTTTTCAGTATATGAAACCCAGCGTGAGTGAATCTCTGGGTTCCTAGGAGGGCACAGCAGGGGAAGGAAGGGACAACGGGGAGCCAATATCAAGGAATATGAGGAGGAAGAAAGGTTTTTTAAATGATTGTGGTAGTGATTGTACAACACTGCTTGTTATGACTGAACTATTGAATGGTTTGATGTCTGGATTATGTCCTAATAAAATGATTTGGAAACCGTGTGTGTGTATTATCGAAGGTTGTAAGTCTTTCTTCTGCCCAAAGTCCACATTTTTCTTTGAATAACCCAGTTTCTCTGATTTTCTGTACAGCATACAAATTGACTGAGTATGGTGAGAGGACACAACCGTGACACGCTTGTCTTGATTTTGCACTCTGCAGCTGTTTCCTTGTTCTCTTCGCACAATTGCCTCCTGATCCGTGGATAGGCTCCACGTGAGCGCCACTCACGTCCTGAAATCCTTCTTCTCCAGGCTCTGCAGTTTGTCAGGATTCACACATGACCTTTGCAGGGTCAACATAATACAAGTAAACATCTTTCTGGTTTTCTCCATTTTGTGCCAAGCTCCATCTGGCATCACCAATGACATGTCCCTTTTTCTCTGACCTCTTATGAGTCCAGCCTGAATTTCCGGCAGCTCCCTGTCAATGTACCGCTGCAACCATTTTTGAATATTTCATAGCAAAATTTTACTTGCGTGGGATATCCATGACACTGTTCCGGATGCCCTCCGTGTCGCCTGGACGGCTTCCTCAGTACCATGGGCTCTTGATCCATACGCTGCCTCTTGAAGTGGTTGACTGTTGACTAGTCCTTGTTGCTACACTGACTGTGGATTCTTTCCACCTTCTTTTGATGCTTCCTGCATCGTTCACTATTTTGCCCATTGTCCTTCAATATTACAACTTGAGGCTTGAATTTCTTCTAAAGTTCTTCCCATTTAAGAGATGCTGAGCATGTTCTTTTTTTTTTGTTTTCTAACTCTAGATCTTTGCACATCTCATCATAATTTTACGTTGTCTCCTCAAGCTGCCCTCTGAAATGTCCTCTTCAGCTTTGATTTCATCTATTTCTTGCTCTTGCTTTAGCTACTCTACAATTAGGAGCGTGTTTCAGTCTCTTCTGACATCTACTTTGATCTTTTCTTTCTTCCCTGTTGTTTTTAACGACCTTCTGCTTCCAAGTCTGAGGTAGGTTCTTTTTTTTTTTTCTTCCTTTTTAACATTTTATTAGGGGCTCATACAACTGTTATCCCAATCCATACACACATCAATTGTGTAAAGTGCATTTGTACATCGTTTCTCAAAACATTTTCTCTCCATTTAAACCCCCGACATTAGGTCCTCATTTTTCCCCTCCCTCCCCGCTCCCCCCTCCCGCATGAGCCCTTGATAGTTTATAAATGGGTATTTTGTCATATCTTGCCCTGTCCAACGTCTCCCTTCATCCACTTTTTGGTTGTCTGTCCCCCAGGGAGGAGGTCACACACAGTTCCATGTAATCGGTTCCCTCTTTCCTACCCATTCTCCCTTTACCCTCCCTGTTTCGCCACTCATACCACTGGTCCTGTAGGGCTCATCCGTCCTGGATTCCCATCTGAGGTAGGTTCTTGATGCCCTCTCGAGCGCGCAGCCCTCAGGTCTGTTATTCCTGCCTCATGCGTCAGACCCGCTCTTCAGACGTTCCCCAGTCAGGTGGGGCAGCCTCAAGGTCTTTATTTTGCCTCCCATGGACTTGTTTTCATTTCTTCATTCTTCAGCTTCAATCTGAACTTATACAGGAATAACTGATGATCTAATTCACAGTCGCCCCTGGCCTCGTTTTAACTGCTGATACTAATTAAGCTTCCCCGTCATTTCTTCCCAGAGATGCAGTCCATTTGATTTCTGTGTCTTCCACCTGGAGAAGCTCATGTTTATCGTCATTGATTGTGTGGTTGAAAAAAGGTAATTGTGATGAAGTCGTTGGTCTTGCAAAATTCTACCATGTGAATTCCTTTCTCTCACCAAGGCCTTTTTTCCAAATACTACTGTATTTCTTATCTATGCCTATATGTACACTGGAAGTATATCCAACGACAGTCACTCATGGGAGGGCTGAGTGTGCAGAGGCAAGGATAGACGTCGCATTGTATAGCACCTTTTTATACCGCTGTGCTTTCTGAATGTCTTACTCAATAAAAGATAAATATGCCAGGGAAAAATCGACATCCCCAGCAGGTTCCTTGTCCCCTGGGAAATGTGCCTCACCTCACAGTTTGCTTGCCTTGGTCCCCAGAAAGTACACTCTGGAGGTTGGGTAGACAGGGGATGGCTTCTGGCTTAGGGTCATCAACTGCCATTCACCTCTCCCCGCGTGATCCACCCGAGATGAGTGTCAGGAAATAAACAAGGCCTTGCCACGGTAGAGGGCACCTGACACACCCCATGAACTCCCGACACTTTCAGGACAGCTTCCTCCACACCCTGAACATCGGCTTCTGATGGCAACAAGCTGCAAGGGCCTAGACAGCCAACAGGTCCAGGGTTGGTTCGCACCGGAACAGTCTGATTTTTTTTCTCTCTCTTTTTTAACATTTTATTAGGGGCTCATACAACTGTTATCCCAATCCATACACACATCAATTGTGTAAAGCGCATTTGTACAT